CGAGCGAATGAACCAATTGTTTGATAACATTTTCAACCAAGTACTTTCAATGGTCTGTAAAGAGAAGTTGCCTCCTAAAACTGGCCCACAATTTATGAGCGTGTTAAATGAGGATGCAGTACTCATTCGCGCAATTGAATCTATCGCACAAATGTACTATGGTATAACAGCACAGAACTCATATTTTAAAAGATAGTCATTTAACTAAAACTGTCATGCTAGAGCTAATGATTATTTTTCCGCGCCACAGAGCATCAAGACCGCAATATTAGATAAATAACATGGAATGAAATAAACTTATAGAGTTCACCTTACTTTTCCTCCTCTCTTATAATTCCCATTATTAAGCAAATTGAATGTGTTTATTAACTTGTGCAATTTATGAACTTGTGAGATTTTTGCCGCGTTAAAATAAAAACTCAGAAGCACGTAGATCTGGTTTCTTTAGGGCCCCTAAAACTATGTTACAGAACTGCCACCAACATTCCGTTATTTTGCGAACCACCGTGCAACTCCATCTATTGCGCAAATAAATTTTCCAATTTTAAGCGCTTTGTTTGCCTTCTACGACTTTGAGCACTCACTGAATCATATCGGCAAGTAAAACTGTCAAGTGATCAAAATTGAATACCGCAACGAATTCAACAGCGACAGAATGGTTGACGGACATAATTAAATAAATTGGTAATCATGGCAACCAATCTATATTGGAAGGGAGGTTTTACTTTTAATTTTACAAGGTATATTATCACCTGCTCCAACTATGTTTGGTAAACAAGTGGCTGCCCTTATTTTATTAATATTGACACATTTATTAACAGGCTGGTTTCATAATTCGCTTGTTTCTGTGATGTCAATAGAAGCTAAGCAAATCATCTCACTGCGTCCGATCCATTTTAACTGACTTGTGGGCTTTGACCAGTGAAACCTTCTTTTCCGCAAAGATCCTTAGCTCTCGTGATCTACTATCTCTCCGACTGTACGATAAGAAATCTGATCGAAGGAGCGGCAATTAATTCTTTCGTTCTCAACTTAGACATTCGGTGTTTTCCTGACTAAGCATTCTCCATCAAGTCCTCAACATATTTGAAAGGGATTCGAGAGGGCGGTTACAACTATCAATCACTACAGAATCAAACCGAAGGAGGGAGCTTACCTGTTAAGGATGAACATATATTTGGGAAACTTTCACATACCTGATTATTTACCTCTCCGTATGCTGTGGACGAGTATCAGTAAAAAATAACGCGCACTGTTGATATCCGTTACTTAAATAGGACTGATGGCTAATGTTGCAGCTTTTAGAATTACTTTTGGTTTCTCTGATCAAGCCGATTATTGGAAGACTTACCTCTTTTATTTGTACAGACCAATGAAAACGGTCGGCGCAAATCAACGGAAGGATGAACAGCGAATTTGCGACTTCTCAGCTTATTGCAACTGAATGCCACCTGCTCTGATGGAAGTTGCTCGATTTCCTGTTTACTTTCAATCATAATAAGTAAAATAATTTTTGTATTGATTACTAAGAAATAGAATGGGTCCCTAGAAAAAAAAATTCACGAAAACATATCAAACGCGTTCAGTTTGTCTCTATTAGGATGATTATCTGTTTAAAACTGCATCATAAACTAAAATAATTGAAAAGTTAATGCCTCTCATCCATAATATTTTCATAACTGTCATTTAGCGAAAAATATGCAAACAGCAAGGGTCTTCCTTGTGTGTCCGTTTATTAATAAGAACGTGGAGCGCTGTTGATTTCCGTCAAACAACCAAAAAATAATTTCAAAAAGGCAAAGCATCGCTTCGCTCGGTTCAAAAAGCAATATCGCAAAGTACTGAGGACAACTTGGAATAGTAGCATGAAACAGGTAGCCTATCAAATCATTCAAAACTCAACGTACCTCACTTTTTAAAATTGTCATAACGATCATTTCGTGTCAATATTAGAAACAGCGCGGCCCCTCCATGTGTACTTGCACATAGCAGGAATATTTTCGTTTATTGGAAAGAAACCAAAAGAACATGGAAAAACTATAATCACACATTTCTATTGGTTGATCATTTTCCAATATAGAAAGTTAAAAATATCAGCTGATAAAAAAATCAGAAAGAAGAAAAGCATCCAGAATTAATCAAGGGTGAACGTGGCTCTTTCATTGGTTGGATATAGCTATCATTTCGAGTGCGCTTTAAAAACAGCAGGCTCCTTCCTCGCATATCCGCTTACACATGAGAAATTAGAATAATTATTTCCTGTTCGAGGGAAGGCGAAAGAAACAAAAAAAATCTTGACTGAAAAATGTACATTTTCTTTGTAAAGAATAGTAATTAAATGACATTAGAAAAAAAGAGAGAAAGAAAACAATTGCAACAAGAACAACAATCAAGTCGTATAAGTGGAACTGTTACGTTTATTGCTACTAAAAGGAATTTCATTTTTTGTGTTTTTTTTTTTTGGTCCTGCTGTTGATTTTTTATTTTCTTAAAATTCCCGCAACAGGCGAAGAGCCATTTTCATCGGAAAATCGAACTCAAAACGGTAGAGTCTTGTTCCTGCCACAGCTTTATGCTTTAGATCGGTTTTGGATTTTTATGTTGCGTCAAATAGAGCATTTTTTCTTCCTTTCCAACCCTTATCATTTTAAGACAATGGTAATTATTAATGGGAAACAATCGATTTATTTAAATGTGTCACAACTCATCGTTTCTCTCCCATTTTACCGTTCGATGTTCCCACCCTGAAGGGTACGATGCCAAAATTGTCATTTGGCCAACTTCATTCCCAATTAGGGTTTTGAAAAAGCACTATAATGACTCAGCCGCTCCACATAATTTAGGACACTTAGTTTCAAGACGAAGAAAGAAAAAAAAATTCATCTGAGGCTTGTTCGAACTTAAGTTCAATGGTTTGGTTTTCTTACCGAGTAAGATGATTCACTCTCTTGCTTTTTTCCAGGTGTGCCTTCGGACACAAATTTTCGAAGCCTTCTAAAATCTGATCACATCAGACATTCAGTAACCCACAATATATTTTAAAAACTTGATAATGCATTCGGGAAAACACAGAAGACTGGTTTTATTCTCACTCTTTTTTCACAGAGTTACGTTCTTCTTACCCACCGTCCCGTAACGGATTATGAATATCGAGTGGCGATGTCAGTTCAAATTATTTTATTTATTTACTGTCCTATCCAACCTTGTTTTTAGGTTCCACTGGATGATTTGTCCTCGTCTTTGTAGAAGCTAAAATCATGCTGCGAGAAATCGAGAAAGATAACCTGTTGTGATGAACGTTTAAGTATCCGTAATGTAGAGAAAAGAAACTTTAGAATTCGTGTTTTGTTTCCATATATAATTCAATCATTGCAGCTTTGTTTATTTTTATTATCGTTTTTTATCGTTCCATTGTTCATGTTTTTAATCATTTATCGGAGCTTATTGTACCATGTGATTTAGCTATCAATCTAGCTTAAATAAGGAATCGCTTGCGTGACCTCTCAGTGATCGGAGTATTCAGTATCGGAGTAGTTGGCGTTTTCCTTTTGGAGTCACCGGAGTTACCTTTTCGGAGTTATTTGCTCACCTTTCTTTTCACGCAGGATCAGACATGAGTTACCATTGTACATATTGATCGCCTTTTGCCTTTCTTGACTTCTATTTTGCTTGTCATTTCTTTAGCCTTGTTTCTTATTACGCAATCATAATTTGCTACGCAGTTTTCACTGCATGTGTGCGATATTTGGTTTGTGAATAAAGCTGAGAAAATCAAGTTTTGCATGCTGTGGTTGACACTTACCGTTCCCTACACTTGGGTACGCGACATAACCGGAACACTTAGAGGTGAAACTGGTTATCGTCAGCTGCTTAGATTCGCAAGGACAACGGCATATTTACTAAGAACTTGTCAAGTTAGCACTCCGAAAAAAAAGGGAAAAGAGAGGATGAAGATGACATGAATCAAACTGTCTTGACGACAGTAAGTCTTACCTTCGCATAAATTTAGCTAAGGTCACAGTCTCTCGAAAAGTTTGTAAATCGCTCGCCTCCGTGCTCTATTTCGTGGTTAACAAACTTTTCTCGTGTCCTTCCAACATCCGACGTGAGTTATTCCGATGGAAAACCGATAGGAAGGGCAGTCTATTGCTAAAAGAAATTATTTATTTACGATCGCTGAGACCTGAAGTATTGCTTTGTTACGGGAAGAAAACGCGTTAAAACACATCCTGGCCCAGGAGGGAGGGGTCAGGTGCTATTAAAAAGTTAAAATTTTCCGAAGCGGGCAGGCCTCCAAATAAATCCTAATCTCTGCGACCTTAAGTGTAAATAGAATTGTACATATAAACCGCTGAATTACATCATTTATTTATTGTACATATACTACTGGGCATTGAATTGCAAATATTTTAAAACTTCAAATATTATACCGTTGTCTATATGAAAAAATTCCTGGCAACAATGAGTCGAGCTGGTTACTTGATGATACCCCCAGTAGGTCAAAGAGGTCAGTCAGGGATCAAACATAAGCTAGGGTTGCCAATCCCCGGGGACTGCCCCGCGAACTCTCTCAGGATAATACTCACGTCGTGACCAGGGGGGTGAAACCAGGGAACCAAAGACTCCTTTTTTAAACACCTTCAGTAGGTCAAAGAGGTTTGTCAGGGGTCAAACACGAGCTGGTGTAGCCAACCCCCGGGGAGTGCCCCACGAATACTCTCAGATCTCAGGAACATACTCTTGTCGTTTGATACGGCAAGGGGGGATCAGGGAACCAAAGCCTCCTTTTTAACCACCTTTAACTTTATATCAATCTATTCAAACTAGGCACCATTTACACGGCTGTTTAGCCAATACATTCGTCAATATCTCCAGAAACTTTCAAGGTAAACGGAGCACGCACCTTAAAAGCTAGACTAAATTTCCAGTAAAAGTTGTAAAGATAACTTTTGCGTCCTGTTTTAAAAAGAGGATGTTTTACTGACATAAATTCACTAGACTTAAAAGTTTGCTTCTTGTTCCTCTCGTTCGACGAGATCGTTGGCAGGCAACACAGCAGCTTTCTTTGGCACATTTATTGACCTTTCACGGCGGCAACAGAATAGTTTGCGAAATTCTCTGCGGAACTCGCCATTTGTGAAAGCGTAAATAATGGGATTGACTGAAGCACTCAAATATATGAAAAAAGCGGCAAGCAATACTGTAATTCTTGAGCTAGTTTCAGGAGAAAAACGAAACCAGAGGACAAATACCCACATTGGTATCCAGCAACACAAAAATCCCGTTGCCACTAGGAACAACATTCGAGTAAGCTTTATTTCTCTCACTGAGTTGGTTACTGAACCATTTTCACTCCTGTTCTGTAGCGATGAGACCACATTATGTTGATGCTCATTGGTTTTGAGAAATATCTTATAATAACTGAAAATGCCGACACACAACGGTAAAACAAAAAGTAATCCGACCGTGATGCAATAATGAACGATTTGACTTTCAATAGTTAGGAAATCAAAGGAGCACACAGCGTAGCTTTGAATAAAATCGATATTAGCCCAATTTGTGACTCGGACAATCAACAGGTAAAGTGCAAGGGAAAGCCACAAGGAACTCAGCCATATCTTAGATCTGCGGGGCGAAAAAATCTTCTTATAATGGCTTGTCTTTACAATTTTCACGTAGCGGTTAATTGCTGTCAGACCAAGAGTTGCTGGGGTTAAGTTTGCGGTAAACACACCAACAAAGCCTTGAAATTGGCATAAGGGGTCGCCAAAGACCCATCTTCCGATGATCAGCGTGGCAGAAGCTAACGTCATGTCTACTGTTCCACACAGCAGATCGCTGACCGCTAAAGCAATGATATACAGGTTGGTGGTTGATCGCAGGTTTGAGTTTCTGTATGCTGCTATACAAACCAGACTGTTTCCAATGATGCTCACGATGCACAATGCAATACAAACACTTGCCTCAGTTATGACAACAGGTAAGCTTCGACTTGGTAGCTCTGAGTTTAACATAGCACCTTCCGAAAATAAAAGAGATTCAAGAGCAAATAATTGAATAAATGAATAAACAAATAAATGAACAGAGATGAAAATTAATTAGGTGAAAATAATGGATGTCCCTCTTTCCCGGCAAACTACATCATCCGCGCCTTTAATTCGCTCTCAGGGTTTACGAACTTTCGAAATATTCTTTATTTATATGTTCGTTTACTTATTGGCTTAATTTCAACCGCGTGACGTGTGATCTTCACAATTATGATAAGCTATCTCGTGTCTATCTCAAAGACTATAAGTCTATAAGTCTATCCGTAAGTCTTTCGAAATACTCTTTTGATCATTTATCTAGTTATTCATTTATATGTTCGTTTACTTATTGGCTTTTTTTATTTCAGCTGCGAGACCTGTTACCTGCACAATTATGATAATCTCGTGTCTATCTCAAAGACAATAAGACTATAAGTCTATCTCAGAGACTAATAAAATTTACTCGTGCTTATTTATTCCAAATTGCACTAGAAATAATGTGATAATCTATACTAACATATAATTGCTTTGAATACTACCCTCATATTTCAACTCCAACGGCTAGTGAAGAATACACGGTATATAAAATATCATACTGGTAACTCGTAAAATGCCTACGCATTTCTATCAGCTAAATAATCGTTCCTGATCGAGTGTTTATATTGCTAGAGAAGCTCATACTATATATTTTTTAAATTTTGTAGGTAGAATGTAGTTGTGTAATTTAGCATGCGTTTCCATGGAAAAATAAACTTATTTGATATTTCCGTTCGAGTTTTAACCATTTGCAGTTGTATTTTCTCCTGTTACAATCAACGGATACTTTTTTTTTAATCTCCCACAGATATAAGCTATCCATATGCTCAGTACATGCAATGAGCATTTTGTTCATGTTGGCGCAAGCGACTGCTTACAATTTATTCAAATTAGACGATGACAGTATTAATGACAAGCTAACATTTGGAGATAAACGTAAGCCGTCAAACCTCCTTTCTCTATTTCTTTGTTTTGCTAATTTGTGATTACAATCATATATAATCATCGTTTTCTTCATCATTGTTACTATTATCATTATTATCATAATTGTCGTTAACAACAGTCTGCCGAAAAGTTCCACTAGTTCGTTTCTGTATTTACTTCTCATGAAACTTGGATCGAACATATCATCTATCTCTGAAACTCTTTCGCGCTTTCAGTCTACCCTGAATTCAGTGTGAATAGATAGAAACATGAATAAATGGAAGCTTTATTAACCAGTTTAAAGTTAAAAGCAATCTTTTGATTGAATAGTCGTCGTATCCTCCCTGACTTAAAACTGTTTTCATGAGGGTCTATGTAACTTCTAGCGTTCATACACAAAATCGAGCGAGGTGTTCCTAAAGCCGGTCACACGTCAGCTTTTCCCCGCCGTCGCAGCACCACAGTTTCTTTAGAAACTTAGGCTCCTTTATAGTTTGCTTTATACTTGTCTTTTCCAATACGTACAAAATTGACACCTTTTTTTATTCTTTTCTTACATAAAAAAGTGAGAGCTGCAGGTGAGGGGGAAAGCTGTTTGCAATAGGTCTTAAAGACACAACTACTAATGGATTATTGTTTTTGCCTAAGGCCTGAATACATTCGTTAATCCAACATTTCTTAGACCGTTGTGTTATTAAGCTTTATAAATAAACGAGATCGGTCAAAAACCTATCTTTTATTGCATCGGTAACCTAGAGAAATTTGCAACAGTATGTTTTGTTTTAAGTTTTAAAGCAATAAAGCACACTTTGTGTCGGTTTACCAGCATAATACTCCACTCGGAACGTTGTGAAAACACTCGAAAAGTTGTTAATCACAAGTTAGAGGCGAGTGATTCACAAACGTTTCCAGTAACACGGTTCTCCAAATATTTCAAGTTGATTATTATTTTGGTAAAACGATAGAAAGTGCGGTGTGTTGCTAAATGACTTTCCGCAAGGATGACGAATGTTTATGTGGAGTTTCACTTCTCTACTTGAGAGAGATCGAAGATTACTTCCTCCCTCGCCAAAAATATTTGAACAAAAATAATCATCTCACTTCGGCGATTGATAAAGTCACGAATGTGCTGCTGAATTTATCCGTGGCGCCGTTAGTTTTAAACTTTGTCTCACGATAAGAATCAGAGAGCTCGACAAAATTTCTCAAAATTGCTAGTAAAGAACTCTAAAGCTCTCATTTTATTTGCTTCAAGGAACAGCTGGCTGCGAGTTAGTTGCGTACTTCGAATTTTCTTATGCGAGGAGTTTGTGACAATTATGTGAACTGTCCGCGATCCAAGCGAAAGTTTTTGCCATTTTAAGCATTCACTGATAATTCTAATTAAACCAAGCGAAAGCTTTACCTTACGCGGAGATTCGATGAAAACAGGTCAGATAACAGGAGAATATGGGACGGTACTTATAATAGCTCAACGGCTGTCAAACTTCCTTGCAAGGTTGGAGCTCTTGTCTTTTAACTCTACCAGTCTTTACCCGTCACAGTGCAGTGTGGCTTTTTTTTAGAGCTAAAAATTAGGTTTAAAAAGCGAAAATGGATTACTAGAGATGCTATCTGTAACTAACCTTAATTCCACAGGAAAATTTCCCCAAAACGTTATTGACACGATTACCTCATCCAAATTGAGGTTCCTCTTAGTGCAAAATGCCTTTTTTCCTTTTAAACATCACAATTTCTGTTCATTTTATATAAACTTTCAGAGTAGGAAAGACCTTTCCACGCCTATGCCTATTTTTAAGCTACCAGCGGAAGGGCCAAAAGCGTTTGATTATTTTTAACTTTCTCAGAGTGACGTCTGCAAGTCACACAATTGCTGAACGAAAGCCTAAACAAATGCAATAAGGACGGAAACATCTGTATGTTTGACTATGATTTCAAGAAAAAATTTTTTTTTATTCTGCCGAAGTGCATATGTCTGCCGTTTCCGAAATACTTCGTCTTTTTCATTGAAAGATAACCCCAGAAAATTACTCTTTACTTGCGTAAGCTTGATTGCGAATTTTCATCAGCATTTTTATTAGTTACATATCTGGCCTAATGTCACGTGTAACTTGTAGCAGGTGGTAAGTTAAAAGGCGAGGTATTAGCAAAGAATGAATTGTCTATTATTCGGCATAGCCCTCAAGCTCTTGAGAAAACTGTCATTTTGCAAGAAAAACACTGAAGTTGTGAAAATTCAGCTGGTCCGACTGATAAATGCAAACTATCATATAAACTGCGGTTTTTAACAAAGATTTCTAATTTGGGAAAAACGGTAACTTCATATGTGTAAATTGGGATTATGTATAACTTGACTCAGTCAATTAGCATTTTATCATATGACCATGAATAACTTTTGAATATTTCGAAAGGTATGTTTTTACTTAAATAGGACGCGATAGGCTGGCGCGCGCGGGGATAACTACAAAAAAAAAGATTCTACAATAAAAACTCTTCCTTTCCTTTATTGAGTCAGAGCAGGAAATTCTGGTTCATCGAAGAGCGTGGCTTATTTTCTCATTTCTGCTCACTACTGTCATTCAGTTTATGTTTTTGTCCGCTTGTCTTTCACGAACACGTGAAGTGAAATAAGTTTTCTTTATCCCTATTGTAGCATAGCTGTCAAGGAATGGCATACTTGTGAAAATGTCATGTACTTGTCAAATTACGAATGCTAATGTCGAGACGATCTTTAAAGTTAGGCGTGCACCGAATACGAGCCCTATGTGAGTAGGTTATAAGTTGTCTCGTAATTTTGTGAATGTTAAATTTGCTCCGTTGGACACCACACCTATCAAGCCTGAAAGATTACAAAGATCTTTATCAACCTTCCTTTCTAAACGAATATTTCCAGGTTTGGTGAGACAAGAGCGGTTCTACAATTGTGTCATTGGGAGTCACGGATCAATTTCAGATTAACATAATTTTTTTTCATGAGATAAAATTAGTTCAAGCCCCAATCTCATGCTTAAACAAAACAAATAGAAGCAGCAAAATACCGTCTCAAATAGTGTCCTTCGTCATAAAAATGTTCCTAGGTAAAGAATACCTTATGAGATAAATTTAGTTCAAGACCCAAGCTCATACTTAAACAAAATAAGTAGAAGCGGTAACATGTCGTCACAAATAGCGTCCTTCGTTATAAAAATGTCCTGGGTAAAGCGGTTCGTCATAATATCAACATTTTCCTGTGTGTGTGAAAAGATTACTTTTTTTTTCTTAATCATGACTGAATTGATTTTAAATTTTCTGACAGCCGACGATCCTCTCGGGACTCTAAGGTTTCCTTCGCGTAGCTATCTTAAAAATGGACGCCTTAAGGCCCTGATACAGCCCCGACTAACAAATAAAATGTGGCCAGATGAATGATCAAGTATGTACTTCGGCGCTGGAGCTGGCGGTGTTTCACAAATGCAATAATGACAATACAACGAAAATAAAATACAACGATATTAAATACAAACGATATTAGATACAAATACAATGATAATGAGGATGACTATGGCGAGAGATACAGTGCTTAGCGCAAAAAGTTACGGAATACAGAGGAGGTTGGAAGCGACCGCTGGTGCTGGAAGGAGGCGATATCATAAGAAGCGCTGCTGGTATATTGGTATTCCTGATTGAATTCGACTGGAATTGATTTATTTCAATCCGATGGATCTAAACACGAATAATACAAATAAAGTTAGACAATTCTCAGGTTGCTAAACTAGACAGTTTTGCCCTCAGGAGTGAGGACTAAGATGCATAAATTAAAGGGAACCGGCGAACATTAGCTCGTCCTTAACTGACAAGTAATGCTGAACAACTGCCACTACTAAAGAGCTGCTAATGGAGTAGACGCTCAGTGAAGCTATCTATGTTTCTACTGGAAAATCAGATTTCTTTTAATGTTCTTGTATTTGAATAAAGGTGCACGTAAATGATTCTCGTTTGCTTACTAGTAACTTTGGAATTTTTCTCATGATCTTAACTAAAGAAGAAGA